TCCTTGTGTTCCTGGAATGAACCTAACTTGACCATGGTGTATGATCTTTTTTACATGCTGTTGGATTCTGTTTCTTAATACTTTCTTAAGGACAGTTACATCTATGTTTATCAATGATATTGGCATATAGTTTTCTCTTGGGATAGTGTCTTTGTCTGGTTTAGGTACCAGGTTGATGTTGGCCTTATGGTGTGAGTTTGGGTGTACTCAATCCATATAAATCTTTTGGAAGAGTTTGAGGAGGACTGGTATGGATTTTTCTTTGTATGTTTGGTGAAATTCCCCAGTGAAGCTATTTGGGTCTGAATTTTTGTTTGCAGAGATTTTTTTTTATTGTTAATTCTATTCCATTTCTGATGATCTGTCTGTTCAAATGGTTAATTTGTTCTTGATGCAATATTGGTGGGCTGAAAGTTTCAAAAAACTTCTCCATTTCTTCCTGGTTATCCAGTTTGTTTCCATACAGTTGCTCATGGTATTCACTTATGATAATATGCAAATTTATTGTACTCTTTTTAGTTTCTCCATTTTCATTTCTTCTATTATTTGTGTACTCTCTCTTTTCTTGTTGGTGAGTCTGTCCAGAGTTTTGTCAATTATGTTTACTATTTGAAAAGAGAATTTGATTGATTTTTTCTATTTTTTATACTCTAATTCAATTCTTTCTTCATTGATCTTTCTTTTTTCTCACTTTCTGCTGACTTTTGGATTTGTTTGCTCTTCTTTTCATGATTCATTTACATAGAACGTTAGATTATTTATTTGAAATTGCCCTTCTACTTTGAAGAGGGACTTGTCACTATGAACTTCTCTCTTAAGCCTGCTTTAACAGTATTCCATAGAATTGTGTACTGATTTGACATATTTTTCAAGATATTTTTTCATTTCTTCTTTTAATTCTTCACCTCCCCCACTTGTTATAGTACCATGGAGTTTAATTTACATGATGTCAATTTTTTCCCTGTTTATCTGTGATTGATTTCTAGTTTCATGGTATTATACTCAGAAAAGATGCTTGAAATAATTTTTATCTTCTTAAATTTCTTGAGGCTTCTTCTGTGAATGAGTACATAATCTTTCCTAGAAAATATTCCATGTGAACTGGAGAAGGATGTATATTCTGTTTGTGGAGGAGTACTCTTTTGAAAATATCAACCAACTCCAATTATTTTATCCTATCTTTTTGTATCTTTGTTCCCTTATTAATTTTCTGTCTGAAAGACCAGTCTAGTGATGGTAATAGGGAGTTATAGTCTCCTACTGTGATTGTGTTCCCAACCATTTCTCCCTTTTTAAATATTAGTATTTGCTTTATGTATTTAGGTGCTCCTAAATTGATCGCATATATATTAATGAATTTAATACCCTCATTTTTTGTTGCTCCTTTAATCATTATATCATGTCCTTTTTGATCTTTATGGCCTTCCTTGTAAAGTCTAATTTGGGTGAAGTCAGTACTGCTAGTTCTGTTTTCTTGTCATGTCCATTTTCATGGAATATATTTTTCCATCTTCTGACTTTCAATTACTCTCTGTTCCTCTTAATAAAGTGGGTCGCTTCTATGCTTCATAATGTGGGGTCTTGTTATATTATCCTACCTGACAATATATATCTTTTGATTGAAGCACTAAGTGCATTATCATTTGTGATAATTATTGATAGATTGGTGTTTATTTCCAATTCGAACTTCATTTTGCAGTTGATTTGGTATTACGTTTTTGTTTATTTCATTTTCTTTTTGTGGCCTGATACGTTTTCTTTTATTATCTTGGTTTCTTTTTGGCCTTGTGACTTCATTGTAAGCTTTTGACTTATGGTTACCCAGTTTTGTATGTATATTGTCCCATTACTATACATTTTTATTTTAACTGATTGGAATACAAATTCTAACCCCTCCTATAGAGAACATAAACAAGAAGAAAATACTCTGTATTATCCTGTTTCACTCTCTGACCCTTAAAAATTTTGATGTCCTGTTTTACAACATCATGTTTATTCTATTGAAAGACATTGTAACTATTGCCTTTCTAATTATGACTTTCTCCTTTCTATAGCATCATGCTTTTTGTTTTAGAGTAGATCTTTCATTATTTCTTTTTCTGTTGCTAAATTCTTTTAGTATTTGCTTTTATGGAAGTTATTTATCTCTCCTTCTATTCTAAAAGAAACCTTGCTTGATAATGTACCATAGATTACAGCTTTCTTTAATTCAGAACTTTGAATATGTCTTAACACTGCCTTCTGCCTGTTGTATTTGTGTAGGAAACGTGTTTACAAATATAATATATATAATCATATATATATGAATAGAATATATAGAAATGAATTTAACAAATTGGGAGAAAACTTATATGTTAAAATATAGGAAACATTGATGAAGGAAATTATAACTGATCCAAAGAAATGAAAAGATCTCTTATGTTAATGATGTGAAACAATGTGGTTGAAACCACCATACTACCCAAAGCAATCTAAATTTAGTGTGATTCATGTCAAAGCACCCATGAGATTTTTCCATTTAATAGAAGAGATAATTTCAAAATTTATGTGTAGCCACATAGATCATGAGTTGCCAAAATAATCTTAAAAAATATATTAAATCTACTAGTGTAAAGTTCTCTGATGTTGAAAAGTCCAAGAAAGCTTTAATAATTAAAACAAAATGATACTGGCTCAAAAATAGACACCAATCAATGGAAGATAATAGAGCAACCAGGTATAATCCCTCACACAAATGATAAATTAACCCATGAAAAAGGAAGCAAGAGTATAAAATGAACAATAGACATTCTCACCAATAATAGTGCAGGGGAGTTGGAACATGTACAAGATAGATTAGAAGAGTTCCTCACATTGTATACAACCCATAAGCAGAGAATATCTTTCTATTTATTTTGTTTACTTACATTTATTGTACCTGAAATTTATAGATCAATGTTTAGATCTTTTATTTCCCTTATCAAATGTATTCCTAGTTTATTCTTTTTGGTATAAATATACACACAATTGTTTTCCTAATTTCTCTTTCTAATAATTTGTTGTTACTATATAAAAATGCAATGGATATTTGCATATTGATTTTGTATTCTACAAGTATACTAAGTTTGTTCATTATTTGTAACAGTCACTGGAGGAGCCTATGGAGTTTTCTATCTATGCATAATTATGTCATCTGTAAAAATTTTATGGCTTTTTTACAAGTTGAATGCCTTTTATATTTTTTCTAGACTTGTTATTCTGGCCAGATCTTCAAGTAGAGTAATTTAGTACTTGTGAGAATGAGCTACCTTTTCTTATAACAGGACCAGGGGAAAACCTTCCTGTATGTTATCATTGAACTTGATGATAGTCATGGGTTTTTCATATATGGCTTTTATTATGTTTAGTTACATTGTATTTAAAGTGAATTTGTTAAGAATATTTTTATAAAAAAGTAAAGATCAGATCTGTGAATTATTTTCCTACATTTTTTGAGATTGTTGTTTTTGAATTCTCTGCATTTTAAGGGATTGTATCACATATATTGATTTGCATATTATAAGTAATATTTATGAATCAGGACTAAATCCCTCTTAACTATAGTTTATAATACTTAAAATATGCAATGAATTCAGTTTGCTAATGTTTATTTAGAACGGAATGTACACATACTGAAATAAAAATGTACATTGTTGCTTGAGAGTACATTTATTTATTTAAATTTTTATCCCTCATTTTGAATTTGGCTTATGTTTAATGGAATTTATTTCTAAATAAAGAATATAACTTTTGGCAGACTGGATTTACAACAGTTTACTGATACAGAACATAGATATTATTTACAATTAGTGAACAAAACACATGCCTTAAAATGTCGTATTTTTCTAACAATGTCAACTGCTTCAGGACTGAGATACATATTGCTTCCTAAAATCCATTACCTGGTCTTTCCCACCCCAACACAATAATAGTGTTATTTCTTTGTTTTTGGATTGTTTGTTTGTTTGCTCCTTAATGGAGGCACTGCTTATTGAACTCAGGATCTTGTGCATAAGTGAATTTATCAACATCATTTTGGAAAACTTAACAGAAGCCACAAGGGTATGGGTAATAAAGATGACAAGAAAATTTATTACTTCTAGGGACTGAAAAACCTCTGAGTGAAAGAATGGCAAAGATAAACATTTGTCAGTATACAATAAGATTTTCTCTTTTGTAATTTTAGAGTAGAATATTAAATTACTTTTGTTTCACTTATAGAATTGAACTGCAATTTAAAACAAAAATTCCACACTTTGGGATTTCTTAAATTTGATGCATTATATTTATCAAATTTTATTTCATATTTATTTGACATTTATTTATATACAAAACCAATAAACAGATATTTATTCTACTCATGTTATGAATATACATCTACTTATTATAAAGTACACAGATAAATACCTACATCCATTTCCAAGTCAAATTAAGTTTCACTTTAATTACAAATGATATTGAAATAGATATACATTTTCTATACAGGTTTTATACATATTTCACTTTAAATTTCTAAACTTTAAAATTATTTTAAATATTTTGTTCATTATTTATACTCTGTTCACAAATGTGGTATAAATTTCTGTGCAAAAGTTTGGAGATTGGTTTTATTTCATAGACTCCAAAATTAAATTATTTAAAAAGATTTTGTGGGGCTAATATTTGGAGATCACAGTATAAAAATAAGCATCATATATGTTTCATTTTAACTGGATGAATATGAAGTAAACACTGGCTGAATTTTCGACTTGAGTTGCTGGGAGACCAATCGTTTTGTGATATCACACCTACTCAAGTTGAGAACCATTGTGAAGACCTAGCTGTTTATCTGTGCAGGCCTGCCAAATCAGCATTTGAAGCTGCAGTGCTAAAAATCATGCAGATTAGAAAAGTAGATGTAGAAAAAGTTATTTGAGATGGCACATGTTTCTGCAGAATTTCAAGATGTGTCTCATAAGTTGTACCAAATTGTTCAGGAAACTCCTGTAGATCACTAGTGTGCGATCAAACATTCTCTGGGGACATGGACTTGAGGTCTATGGTTGAAGAAAATGCTTTTCAAAATATGTCTGAAGAATCCTTGAAAAAAACACCATGTTACACACATTGTGTCCCTGAACCGGATGAAGATAATGATTTTCGTTTTCTGACATTTCCAAGAAAAATCTGGAAAATGGCTGGGAGTGACCAATTTAAATCCATCTGGTGGGGTGATAATGGATCTTCCATAGTGATTGATGAAGGTGTCTTTAAGAAGGAAATTTTGGAAAGAAAGGCTCCTTTCAGAATATTTGAACCTGGAAGTATGAAAAGTTTACTTAGACAGCTTAACCTTTATGGGTTTAAGAAGGTGCGGCAGAAATTTCAATGGTTTCCTTGTCTAGCTGACTTTCTAGAAGAAGAAAAGAAGACTCTATTTTAAGAAAGGTATTCAGAAATTTTAGTTACCATTTGGTAACATATATAAAATTTTATTTTGTATATCAATTAATGGTAATATAAATATACACCAAGATTTTTAAAATTGTATAAAGGTACTAAGGCTTAAACACTTTATTTTTTTCTAAAAAATGAGGACAGTGCCTTAAGTAGTCTAGATTATGAGAAAATTTGCTAGCAACTATGAATCATTCCAGAAATCTAAATAAAGGTATTAAAGCTGCTTTTGAAATGTGGCATTCACTGTTACTGCAAATGCTAAATTCTTTAATTTGATGACTATACTATATAAATGAGCATTTTCCAAATAAGGAACTTCAAAATATCATTAACAATGTTCATATTTTGATGATATAATCTTTGCATAGTAAATGTAGAATCTGAGGTTTTATAAGTTAGGCTAAATGTAGTCTTGAATTTTGGTTTAAAATAATACTAAAATCTTTCTTTTTGGTTGTAGCTGCAGTTCTATGATAATCCAAATTTTAAACGAGGCTGTCCCCAGGTTTTATTGAGAATAAAAAGAAGAGTTCGGATTAAGAATTCCTCTCTGGTGCCTTCATAGGCTGAAGATTTCAACAAGAATCATATTAAAGCAGGGTGTAATGTGGATAATCATAATTCTGGTTTTGTGGTTGACACTAGTGGAGAAAGTGCATTTTTTCCTTCTGAAAATTTAAACATGCCTCTAATAAGAAAGCCTTCTACTAGCCACATAATTGGTGATACAACTACCCTGATCAGAGGTGATTTTTCTCCTTGATGATCAATGTCAGTTAGACCACCAGCACAAATTGCAGTGGCTGAATGAGCTATTTTAAAACAGTTGACCACTGTCCACGGGCACTCTCAAAGCAGCTACAATGAAACAAATGGCTGTGTTGTGCACTCCATTACAACTACAAATTCTAATTGTCAGTACAGCAACTTCTCTCCCATACAGAGCAATTATTTTGGACTTATGGTGGAGCCTTCTACTTTTCCAAATAAATATCACAACTCACTACCAATTAAGGTTGTTTTCCTAAGTTCAACCAGGGAGCAACCCATGCTTTCCAGTACCAGTGATAGCTCATACATCAGCTGACTCTCTTTCAAGGCCAAGTCTTCCTCCTTCTTCATTTTATGAACGTCATCCTAATTACAACTGATCTACCAGAGAACTACCATATTATGCAGGATAACAAAGATTAAAATTGATGTTGGAAAATGTCGACAAATATCTGCAATTTTCATATTTCAAAAATAAACATAGATGTGTACCTGATTTTTGTTAAATTTTTTTAATAGAGTCAGGAGTAAAACGTGAGATAATGTTGCCATTTAAAGAAAAAAAAAGAGATATTTGATTGATATGATCTTTTGCTGGAAGATTATGGGAGTAAATTTAAACGGTTTCTTGTAAGGGAGAAGAAAAAAAGGAAGAATTTGGAAAAAGACTAAAACATGGAGAGACAGAAAAGTACTAAGTGGTTTCTGGTTCATCTGGGAAAGTATTAAATGTGTTAAGTTAGGATAGGTTGGAACATGAGATAAATGCAGGAAACGACCCAGAGTTCATGGTCTCTATTATGTCATCCCTGGAATCAAAAAGGTCACATGATGTAGTCTCAGATGGCACATTCATCATGTGGTAGAATTTAAGTAGTAACTTTATTTATGGCCTTTTTGTGCTGCTCTCAATGCATTCCAAATGTTGCTTTCATTTTCTGCCCTCAAGAGTCTACGTATATTTTCTAGTCAATAATTCATGTTGCTTTTATGTTCCAGCCAAAGAGAAGCTGACGTCCTCAGGGTGGCATTTAATGCCTTTCCAACTCTAAGCACACAAACTCAACTTAGTTTAGTCATTACTTTATAAATCTGGCATCTTACTAACTTAGCATATCTTTATGTTTCACTGTATCTGGAGATATATCCAGGCAAATGCTTGTCAACTATGTTAGCTCCAACCTCACCACTTTTACTCCAGCTCTTCCTTGGACGTTGGGTGTCCTCCTTTTACCTACTCAGACTATCCCCGTCTCAGCACAGAAACCACCTCCTCCAGATGTTTTCTGTCTATCACCCTATCCTTGTCTATCTTGGATACCAACACAGTAAGCACAGCACATGCCACAGGATGC